GTCAAGAGCTACTAGAGCCTCAGCGTAGGATAAGTCAGGTTGAATCATCCGCAACGCGCGTTTTTGCAACCTTTCCATTTCATTGGACAGATATTGCGGCAAAGAATGATGAAAAACTGGGCACGCATATTCTAATACAGGGCGTATACATGTCGTATAGAAAAGTAGCATATCCTCAGATGGAACTTTAGCGCGCTTTAGCTGTTTTAGGAAGTACAGACGCTTCGCAGCCTTTTTGCATATAGATTCTACATGTGCGTTCCACCTGAGGTTGTCCGAGACTATCACTCCTAACAACCTTGCAGATGAAACAACTTCGATTTGCTTGTCATTGATAGTAATATGATCAAACAGACTACCTGATCTGGAGAATGATATTCTCAGTTCTTTACATTTAGACTCATTGAATTGGAAACCATCAACTTCTGACTGTCTTACAAGTTCATTTACACGTAATTGCATGTAGCTAGACTCATTCTTCAATACTGATTCGGCAAGAGTGGTGTCATCAACGTATTTCCAAATAGTTGTGTCTGCTACAGAAAGATTATTTATCATGATAAGGAACAGCCAGGGGCCCAATTTCGTCCCCTGTGGCACCCCTGCAGGAACAGCTTCCCACTCCGAGAAGCAATCGCGACTCAGTTTTATCCTTTGCTTACGGTTCGTTAAAAAGTCCATGATCCAGCACAAAATCGGCCTTGGAATATCGTAGGAGGAAAGCTTCCGCGCCAGAACATGATGGTCAATCAGATCAAATGCCTTCCGGAAGTCAAGGAGTACAACTCTCGTAGTCGATCCATTTCCATCCGTTGACTTCGCCCAAGAGTGAATCATACTAATTAATGCATGCGTGGCGCTGGATTTAGGCACCGTACCAAATTGCTGGGGGTCGATCTTTGAGAGGACAGCGGGCTTAACATAAGTGTCGACAACGTACTCCTCCGCTATCTTTGACAAGATTGGAGTCAGGGAGATGGGTCGAAGGTGTTTGTTTATGTCCTGCACAGGTATTTGCTTTAAGGCACAGGCACGACATCCGCTTCTTTCTATGAATGAGGGAGACGACCTTCGCGATAAGATAAATTGAGAATATCTGCTGTTGGTGCTGCCAGTAAATCTGCATTTTCTTTCAACACCCACCCTGGGATGCCATCAGCAGGACCATGCGCTTTGCTTCTGTTCTGTTTCGTCAATTTCTTGTAAACCGACTCGTTTGATACAACAAGCGCAGGTTGTTGGGTTGCACTGTTAGAGGGTATTATGACAAAATCAGCAGGGAGCGGAGAGAAACACTGCATAGGCGAGAGAAAGGCGTTATTGATGGTGTTGGCAAGAGAGATGTCATCTGAGGGCCCATACAGGCGTTGCAGGGACTTTGTGACGTAAGATCTCTCCGTGAAAGCCGGAGAACAGCCGCTAAGCTTTTAGATTTCATCCCACCACGCGGATGGCCTACACTCCTTCAAGTACTCCACCTTCGCTTGAAAAGTACTTAGCCCGACACGCTTTTCGTTCGCGATTCACACGATTCACGCGATTCACGCGATTCACGCGATTCACACGATTCACGCGATTCACGCGATTCCTTAGCTCCCAAAACTGTTGATTACAGTGTGCACCTTGCCCAATGCAGTAAGTGACAAGTCGTTCTAACCCAATAAAATGTGAATAACTGATGCGTAGTAATAATTCATGTTCTGATGAAAGTAATTGCAAAGAAACATACTACACAGCAAGTGTGTGACCACAATATGTGGCTGATTTTAGCTTTGCATTCAACTGAGTGGAGTAACTTTTAAAGGCTTGTCACAAAGTGCAATTGAGCTACACCGATATAATTCCAAATTGTTTTTTAAGCACTGACAAACACTTACTGCAAAGATGGCATCTAGCTTCATCAAAGATTGTTCATCTTTTTCAAGAGGAGCAAGTAGTTTGGTAAGTTTGGACTCCACAAGAAATCCCTAAGATGTGTCAAAAATAGCAAAAGATAAATAATTTAAATATATTATCAAATATTAAAAAATATCATCAAGTATGATAAAATTTATATTTGAAAAGTAATTAGCCTAATCATTCCGGAGATTAAAGGAGAAGCGCACGCTCAGATCGGTCGAGGATTGCATCATCCCGCAGGCCATAATCACCTCATCTGAGGTGACTAAAGAAGGAATAATAAATTTTAAACTGGCTGCCTTTGTAAATGTCACTGAGGAATTGACAAACACGATAGAAGTAAATTCAATTTCCAAGAGATGCTAAGTACTAAGTTTGGGCTAACACTTTTCAAAAGAAGGATAAGACATTTTTGCTGATGGAATTAAATTGACCTGTGAAATTTTAGTGGAGACTAGCTGCTTTAATCTCTATACATTCAAATAATCAAAACAATCGTTAGGGAATGGTTTTCTTCAACAAAACGAATTTCCAACTGAATTGGCAAGCACATGTCCAATTACACTAATAAAAACAATATTGTTAAATATGTTTGTAAAACCAAGTGCTTGACTTACAGCCTCATCACAGATGAGTTCCAAGACAGCTTTGATGGTTTTTGCAGACAATTTTCTCCCTCCTGTTTGTCCATCTTGCTTGCCACCAACTGAACTCTTTTCAATATCATCCTCTCCATCATCTGTCCCAACTGAAACACAATTGATTGCACAAAACAACAATTATGGAAAGCTAATCATAACTATTTATATCAAATTTTTGAATTCTCTAAGGTATTAAATTTAAATTTAGTTGTAATGTGAGTAATGATCTATAGGAAATTAGGAGACACTGCAAACACTGGCATCTAAGCTGCACCTCTTCTTCCAAACTTGGAAAACATCTAGAAAAAGTGCTAAAAGTTTGCATAAAGGGTATCACTATTCATCTCAAATTCAGTGAGTTTATGCAGGTGCAAGTTTGAGGAAGCAACCAAAATAAATTAACTTTCTCAAGACTCCACTCACCATTTCTTTTGTTTTCTTTTTCTAAAACTTTTTTCCCAAACTTTGAGTTGCCAACTCAGTCTGCGGTGTATCTGCATGTACAGCTTATACACCGGTGTTTAAAGTAATTCATTTAGAGTAAGTTGGCAAGATAGCTAGAGAGGCTCTGATTTTGAACCTTTCAGTTTATGACTCAAAGTTTCGAATAATCCAACGGCAACTAAATAACTCCTGAGACTAGACTAAAATCGAGATCTGCCAAAGTGTTCAGTGTAATCTTTGCTTTCAAGTGCTAACCTCCAGACATGATCTCATGAGCCATCTGTGTTGCAGACATTTTGTGTTCTTTACTTCCATTAGTTTGTTCTGCAGTCTTGGCAGCCTCCATGAAATCTCTAAAACAGAAAAAAAAATTAGTTACATTCCACTTTGATCATGTGGGTGAGAGTTAGGTCCTGCGAAGGACTGTTGACAGTAGTGGTGATTGAAGTTTTTACAACTTGAGTGGAAGTCTGACTGGTCAGAGTTCAGTGAGGGGTTGTGGTCAGTCGAGTTTTCAAAGTCCAATTTGTGTATTAACCTGATTGGTAAGTTTTATAGCCATGATGTTCTTGACCATGAGACTTAAGTGGTGTACGTTGGTCCTAAATGGTCAGTTTCAATCCTTTGGTAATGTTAGGTTGTTCTGTTCCCTTTGTTCGTTGTGTGAATTTTGTGATTAAGTCCTATCTATGTATGATGTGTTTGCATAGCATTGACAATAAATGGTTTGAACCCATGAGCAACAGGTGACTCCCTGCCAGATAGTAGTCCATCTGTTTTGACAACCTAATGGAAGTCTTGATCACTCACTCCCAAACAGACAAATGATCAAAAACTCAAATCATATGCAGACTAACTGGTTTGACATTTGCATTGATGACATGACAGTCACAGTCATGCGACTGTACTTACAGATTAGGTGGCTCCCATGGCAGACCCAGTTGATGTTCATGAATAATTCTATCTGCCTCCAGCACGCTATGCACCAGTTCCCTAACTTGCTCCTCATTCATTGCCCACACATCCTGGAACTTCTTCTGATCTGTTGTTTGAAAATGCCTAGAGAAAAAAATGATATTTTGCTACATAAAAAAGTTGTAAAGTACATGGTCTAAGATAAATACGGTAAAAACCCGGAGATAAGCCGCAGCCGCAAATAATCTACACCCTGAATTTAGCAGCTCACAGTTTGGAAAAAAAAAGTTTTAGAAAGAAATCAAAAGAAATCCAAAGTCGAGTCTTGAGAAGTCTTCTTCTTTCACTGCTCATTGAATGTAAACTCACTATTAACATTGCAACGGAAAATACTTCAAAGTCTTACCCACAGTTTTAGCACTTTAATATAATGAACATCATTTCTACCCACTTGCTGCTTTCCTTTCTCATCGATATCGCTCTTAGTTGTAATTTTGGTGAACATTTATTAACATTTTAGCTTCCTTAATTCTCCTATAATTATACATTTTAGTATTGTAATTTTGTAATTTTTAGATCATTGTCAACAAAAAACCCTCTTTAGGGAGTGTCAATAAAGTTTGTATTGTATTGTATTTTCAGGTATTTGTTGAGAGGAATTTCTTCATTCGATACAGTTTTTTCATATTGCATTACAACAAGAGCAGAACATTTGAAGCTTAGTAACCAGGCAATAGATCGGACGCGTTAACAAATACTGGTGTCGACATTCACGACACCTTTTTCAAATGTTCCCGCAGATAAGCTGCACCCCCAATTTCTAGTGACGATTTTTGGAAAATTAATAGGTGCAGCTTATCCGCCGATTTTTAAGGTAATCCTTTCAATGCAACAGATTGAAAGAAAAGATCTTCTGTCATGATTCCTTACCTTGACTTTTTTTGTAGTTCTCTAAACTGTTCTGTAATTCTTTTGTAATCATCTATTAAACTTTGATTATCCTCTCTGTTAAACCAACAGTAATTACCAAAGCGTAAAAATTAGAGCAACACCACATGGTAAGTCAAATGAAGCACGTTCAAAATGATTATGCTAAATTGTCACCTATACTGTTTTTCTTGCTTGGCTAGCTTCTGTTTAAGATTGTTAAGGACATCTTGAAGTCTGAAATAGCAAGATAAAAGTGTAAGTAAATTATATTATAGTTTGCAAGTGAAGTTTACACTGTTCCTGGATACAATACAAACCTGGTGATTTTACGTTTCTGTTGAGATTTTGTGATAGTGTTCTCCTCGTCGCGTTTCTTCAGCACCTATTTAAAATATTAAGTAATTGATTAATTTTAGCATCTCCTGATGTTGCAGCGATACTGTAAGGTGAGAATATGCCTCGGTCACTCAGGGGACTCAAGGGTTAACAGCGCAAGTATCATTTCTGTCATAATAATAGACATTGAAAAAAATACTCAGTTCTGATTGGTTAAGATGAATGCAGTTTTCAGGTAATTCAGGGCAGAAGAAGGTTCATTCAGTGCAAAGAAAGTAACAAACCAGACATTCTGCTTGGTCAGAATGATTGGTCAGTGTCAATGTCAATGTCAAGGTCAATGTCAAGGTCAATGTCACTTGCAGGGTTTGAATACATTATTTTTGCACGTGATGTGCATGCTTTTCTTCTGCATAGTTATGAGAAGCTACCTTGTATTTTTTCACGTTTATTATTAATAAATAATCACGTGATTTTCTTGTGCAATTTGGAATATATAAGCAATTGTAAATTTTTTCAAAGACCACAAATTGCACTTGCCCTATGGGCTCATGCAATTTTGTGAGTCTTTAAAAAAATTTACTCGTGCTTATTTATTCCAAATTGCACTCAAAATCATGTGATTACCTATGTGTAGTAATGACTCACTTGAAAGTTGTACTCCAGCTTCTCTTGGTTTAACTGGTATGTGGCCTTCATCTGTTGTAACTGCTGCTCCAATATCTACATTTGAAGAAATTTGTAAACCAGATTGATGAACCATCACCTTGTCAAACTTATCCTTCAGTAGCCTGAATAAACTTTTATCAAGCTAGCTCAAACTGTAGGGCACTGGACTTCCATGCACTTTGAAAGTTACAAAAAGCTCTGACCTAATCTAGCTTAATTTGAAAAGTGTTAAAAAATAAAAAAGGGTCTGACTTGACCACCAGAGAGACAAACTACCTCTATGTAACAAACTAAACAAGACCTTATCCAAAATTGATCAAATCAGCTGAACTCAGTAAAAAAAATTGTTTCCCAGGTGTGTGGGAGTAAACTTGACCAAACCAATTGGTAAAAAAAAAAAAAGCCCTTCTATGAATTAGACTACCCACTTGTACATCTGTCTCCAGTTTTATTTTCACCATGTTGTATTCCTCTGCATCTTGGACTCTCAAGGTTTGTAACTGATTTTCATGGTCTTCAACTCTCTTTCGTCGAGAATCCATGTACTCGACCTATAATTCAATCAGGTCAAGTTACTACAATTAACATTTGAGTGAGGTGCACAAAAAGTTTGCTGATGGGTTTTTCGACTAAAAAATAATTGTGTTGTCATGGGCAACCTTCCTCATTTCCAGTGGTAACCGAATCTCAAGAGCTGTGTGTCACCAACTGTCAAATGCGAAAGCCTGCCAAAAGAAGTCAAACAACACATTACCACTAGAAAAGGAACGAATTGTCCATGACAACACGATGTTAACATCAAAATGTGAACGTCGAAGTGTGATCACCAAACTTCTGATGCACCTCTCTTTACTGAAAATCATAAAATTACAACTAAAAATGACTTTTGTATTTTTTCAGTCCAAATGGTTTTACATGAAGTGGGTAAATTTATTTTCATAAAATCCTGAATAAGTTGAGATATTCTACCTCTTTGTCGTGTCTCTGCTGCATGGATGACTCCCATTTCTTTCTGTTGCTCTCAATCAATTCACCCCGTTCAGTCACAAAAGCTTTCTGCCACAAGAAAAAATAATAAAAATAGAAAATGAATTCATAACCATGTATTAATCATATATCTGAGTGTTGACATCGTGCTACTGAAAAATATTCTATGAAAATTTCATTTCCAGATACTATAGTTTTCCTTTTGGACTCAAATTCTTCCTCTGAGAAAAGTTTTTTTTTAATTATCCTTGCAGAGGTCGTGGGTTCAAATCCTGTACAGGCCTAAACTTTTTCCATTTTCCCTACTGCTCAAGTAGTGTTCGTTACTGCAAAGATCACTTTTCATTTCTTAACCTGCAGTTCACTTGACTGTATGATTTTCATATATTCACTGTAATTGATCCAGTACCCTAATTCAATTATACTCCAAATCACAGTATGTTAAAATGTTGAACAGTAATCTTGAATTACTCAATTCCCTTTCTTTCCTATTCTTTTTCCAACTAAAAAAATGACAAATGCATGGTTCAATCAGTGCTCTCAATAAGATTTGAAATAGGTGGCTATACCTCACTCTGTACAGCACCCGCCAGAGAGCGACTTGAGTGTGACTTGAATGTGGTGACCACAACTTGAGTGCAGTGAAATATACCGGGCGACTCACAACAGAATACCCACCGGAGCTCTGGCAGGTGCCGGGTTTTATTGAAAGCACTGAGTTCAATGCGTTCTTAAGCTAACCCCTATGATTCCCTGGGCTTAACACCAACCATAGCCCACTAACCACAAACTAGTAGAAATTCAGTTTTTGCTGGCAGTTTTCAATTTCCACTGGCCAGTTTGGCTAGTAAACAAACTGAAATTGTTGTAACATCTAAGATGTCACCAGCCACATGGCTAGTAAGTTGAAAAGTTAGTGTCGAGCCAACTCTCTGCTCTGTTTACCACACATTCTTTTGATATCAGCACTGAGATGTTATATCAACCAGCACTCTTTACCTGATATTTTTATTTCTTCTTATAAACTTACTACATGAAAAGATATTGACATCGTTGGGTGAAATTCCTTTTTGGTCATTATTGAGAATAAAGGGTTGAGGAAAATCAGAGAGCAAATATAACTAACCTCAATCTGAGTGAGTTCTTCTCTGTACGCTTTTGTTAACTGGTTCATCTGCTCTTCCATTCTATCCACCATGAGATCAACATCTTCAGCCTTAAAACACACAACATAAAATTAGGTTAATACTTACAAAGCACTCAGAGAAAACCTCTAGAAAATATCTCTAGCCTACAAGCCCTGATCATCAGCGCTTTAGCACAATCATTTCTTTGCTCGCAGGAAAGTCTGAAACCTTGAGCAATGTGGAGCAGCAAGAGGTCCCCAAAGGGGCCTGGTGCTTATAATTAGTACCAGACCCCCACAAAGCTCTCCCCAACTTGTCTCAAATCTTCCTGCAGGTGGAGAAACCTGTGTTCTAGGCCCATCTCTCAAAAGTTCAGGTAACTAAATGGGCCCGAAGCCATCTTTTAAAAGCAAAAGTTTGCGAATGGAGAAGCGGGTTCTGGTGCCCTACCCAGTCCATTTTGTTTCTTTAGAAGATAGTTCTATATTTGTAACCTCCATCTTGAATGGAAATAAGACAGCTTTACAGGTCTGTTAAATTATCAGGACCTTCAAGAAATGGGCTCCTGGAGTGCTTATAATGAGGGGCTGCTCACCAGCCATCTTCAATTTTGTATCATTTAGCCCTCAAATGAATTTAAAAAAAAATTGCAACTCACTGCTTTTTTCAAGTCTTTTACATACTGGTCATCTTTGGCTTTGAGCTCCTATTGGAAAGTATATCAAGTTATCAACATTATCAGATTGCTATACAGTTATCTTCAGTTGTTACATGATAAAAAAAGAAACACCTTGAAAAGTAGCAAAAGAGAAACTTATTCTACCTGTTGAAAGTCATGGATGAGCTTATTCTTCTCATCTATCATACTGTCACATGCACCTTTTTGCTCTGTCAACATCTAGAATTGAAAATAATATGAAAAATTATTATATGCATCATATACAAATCATCAGAACATAGCTAGCAGGGTCTCGCAATTAAATTCATTATATGTGAGCGTGCTCAAAATCCTGATAGTGCACGCTGATAACGTCAGCAAATCCGATCTCACCAGAAATTTTTCTTTTCGCACGAGCAGCCATTGTTAGCGCGGGGAAAAATAATATATTTCGTGACAATAATGGATACAAACAGAAACTCGGCC